TCGTTGCATTAAATTTGAAGGCTAGCTCACGATCTAGTAGGTGCACATACTTTTATATTCTTTTACTATACGGAGAATGGTCACACTGCGCAGCTTTCTGAGTGCCTTTTAAAAGGAGATAGAAAACTCCGCCATTTTGAACCCTTATTACGTGTTGCCTACATCTTGGTGCAATATTTTTAATAGGTGCGTTTTAATCATCCGCTTCTGCTTCGGAATTGTCGGTTTTCTTGTTTTAATCTGACAGGTTAGAACGACTAAACCGACAATTCCGGAAGCAGAAGCGGATGATTAAAACGCACCTGATATTTTGCCTGCTGCTGTCAGTGTCAGTGAATATTATTTTTGGAGTCACAGTTTATTGCTAAAGAATCAGTTAGCTTACTCGGACCAGTTGAAAGTTCCAAAATAACATCCACTCCAGGTATACAAATTCAGGATACGCAGAAGACTGCTGTTTTATTATAGACGGTTGTCATATATTGTATTATCTGAGTTGCGCAGTGTATAAACTGGAACATTGAGATAAAAAGTGCCGACGCAGAGTGAGCGATCTGATTCTTTAGCTATAAACTGTGTCATAGGGTTCAAAATGGCCGCGCCCTATGTTGGGCGTGTCGGACCTCTCTCTTGCCCCGTATAGTAATTAAAGTATGTGAGTATGTGCCTATCTATTTAGGAGGATGCATAATAGGCCTAGTGAAGCCCCAGTAGGGGAGACCAGGGCTAGTTGACTAAATGTTCACATCTTATTTTTTTAAACTTATTATTTGATTATTGTTGATCTGTAGCATGTCAAAAGTTGATAAATTGTTTATGCATTTGATTTCTATTATTAATTTTGGTTTACAATAACTAGGAACAAAAATATTTGACACATTCAGATTGATGAACAGATAAGTCAACTAGCCCCGTATGCGGGGTTAGTTGACACACACGAAGGGGTTAGTTGACATTTAGTTTTTTAATGAGAAAAAACAATGTAGTTATAAAATAAATGTTTATGTTCTTAAAATACAAAAGCAGTAGTGCGATATATATAAAAATAGTTAAACTAATGAAAAAATGCCTACAAATCATCATCTGAGTCACAGTTTATGCACCTATAAAAAATACGATTTGAGTTGCCGATACATTTGTCATGGGCCCATCTGTGGCAGCTTGGGCATTGCACCCACTCCTCACCACTTGTGCTAATACGATAAGAATCGTCGCATACCAGGCACTCGGTCTCATCGTCCGATTCTGAGGATTTCTCGTCTTTTGTAGTGATGCGAGATGTAGATGTAGATGTAGAAAAGAAATCTTCTTCCGTCGTTAACTTTGGCGCTTTTTATATTTTTCTTCTCGGGCTTCTTTTTCTTCTCAACATTATTTTTTTTTCTTGGACGGTAACTTTATTTTTCTCGTATTCTGTTTTTCTTGTTGTAGAGCGTCTTTGATGGGAGTGTCGGTTAAAATAGCAGTTTGTCTCTTTTTTCTTGCTTTCCTGGTGTTTCGTCTCGGGCCAGCTTTGGGAAACGGCCTGACTTCCTCAGGACTTAACAAAGCGTCTTTACGAGTTTCTTCAGTTGGTTCATCCACTTCGTTTAATTGGTCTTCTTCCACTTCATTCACTGTTTCTTCTTCCACTTCGTTTGCTTGGGCTTCTTCCGCTTCGTTTACTTGTTCTTCTTCCAATTCGTTCTCTTGTTCTTCTTCCAATTCGTTTACTTGGCGTTTGTCAATTTCATCTCCTTCGGGGTTGGGTGCTGGTCTATCTGCCACATATGAGGCCAAAAATTCAATGTCCTGGAAAATATTTTCATTGTAAGGGAAAATTCCTGTTTTTACAAAGCCCGCCGTAATATTTGTCGGGGTAGCAGCCAGTGGGAGCGTCATTTTGACAATTCCTGGGATGTCATATATGGAAAAAGTCTTGCCCGCATTATTCACCATCCAATTGTCAATAGTTGAGTTACAGTGTTTTTTCAGTGGTCCGTAAACGCTTCTGTCTAGTGGTTGTAATTTATGAGAACAGTGCGGTGGGAAAGATAAAACTGTAATACCGTTTTCCTTACAAATATCCAAAGCTGTTATTGAAAGATGGGCCTTTCCTTCGAACATCTCACACGGTGGATAAAATGGTTAAAAAATTTGATAAAATGTTCTTCTTTTATCCAACCAAATGGATTGGCATCCCCCACGCTTCCAACAGGTCCGTCTCTGATGAAGTGGTCACGAAAGTTCACCCTTGGGAAAATAAAAAATGGCGGAATAGAATTACCACTTGCAGACACTGCTACAGTTAAAGTTACAAGCGTTCCTCTTTCGGCGGACGTGAGTTTTCCTATCTGCTTAAAACCACGTCTTGCAATTATCCCGTCTGGTTTCTGGACCGTTGTTATGCCTGTTTCGTCGACGTTCCATATATCTGAGGGTTCTAGATGTAAACGATTATATACGGTCTTTAAATTGGAGAAAAACATGTTCACATTTGTTTTGTTGAAGGAAATAGCTCTTGACAGGCTGGTTGGTTGTGGGCATCTTAAAGATAGAGTATTATTTATTTTCATAAAAACAGCAGCCCAGTCTGCTCCTGCCATTTTATTCAAAGTCCAGCTTGCCGGAACCTCAAACTTATTTGCGCTAGCGTATTGATATGCAAATTTTCATGCAAAGTTCCTTAGGTGTTAATCCGTAGTAAATATCCAATGCTCGTTTCAGGTAATCAGATAATACAGTTTTGTGTTGTTGAGAAAAAAATTGTCTTTTATTAAAATACCCAACACGTTCCAATTCAATTTCATCACCATTTCCGTTCTGCGTTCTGGCTTTCTTGACAGCGGTCAAGTGTTTTTTGTGGGATAGTGAAGTCTTTGGCAACGCTGTTAACACCCCTACCTTCGTTTATGACCATTCTGACTGCCCTTAACATAACATCAGGTGGTGTTTTGCCTTTGTCAGTTTTTCTCTTGTAAGTTCGCATGTTTATGACTGTAACAAAGAAGATATTACAGTAGGTAAAACCAGAATAATAGAGAGCTGGCAACGTCACCGATTCGATTTTTAAATTCAGTGGCCCACATTACCATATTATAACAAATTTTATCGATGTAATTCCGCCGGTTTCTGAGATATCAACCTTCTCGTATTTTTTACAGACCAAAATTTACCTAGGGGTTAGTTGACTACCACAGGCCACTAACCCCATATATGCTTAGTCAACAAGCCCCGTATGATGTAACCATACTTTTAGGCTGCATCTAAATATACGCGACCAGCTGTATGGTTGAAATATATAAAATCATATAGTTAAGTGATCTAGTTTTCAGAAAATATTAATAAGAATGAGTAAAACTGAACCCAAAGAACAATAATTAATAATTCATTAGTACAAAAATTATTACTTACCAACGATGATATTGGATTAATTATTCTCACTGACACAAAACATGACCGTTCATCACAGCGACACGTCTAATAGCGGATCTAATACCGATAAGTACAAAAATTGCATTTGTGGCACCATCTATTAGATTACACAAAAATTACAGGCAGTTAGTCAACTAACCTCATTAGTCAACTAGCCCCGGTCTCCCCTACTGTGAGGAAACCCACCCTCCACACGTTTTATGTAGAGATACAGATGTGCAAATGTTAATTTAATTTTTCAATAGCCTTTGACTTTATATTATAATAAATAAACCCATTTAGCAGTTCCTTCTCTACATACCGAGGCGTTACAGGTTGCCCACCCTGTATAAGTATAATATATTATGTGACATAAGTTTCATGGAGAAAACATAAATTACTTAAGAGTGGTAAAAATATGCATGAAAATACTTTTCACTCTTTCTATCAGCTCACCTTATAGAACTGCAAATTTCAGGTCCATAAGAAAATTATCTTTAAGGTACCATTTCGGTAGGCGCGACAGACGACCGCCGACGCGACATACGACCGCCGACACGACCGAGAAGTGTCGCTTTACATCTAAAATACATACAATTATATGAAACACATTTCGCACGGCGCGACACGACCGAGAAGTGTCGTCCTGGAAACACTTCTCGGTGCAAAGCTTTGCTGCGTATCGCACTCGAGGTCAGTGTCCTCGGCATCGCTTTTTTTTGGGGGTGATTCGGTCGGAAATTTCTTTCGATCTAGGCAGCGTTGCCAGATTTTAAAACAGTATGGGCAAAAAAAAAGCCGTAGATCTGAACAGTAGATTTTAATACAGGGGGAAATAATTGAAATTTGCAGTGTAGTAAATAAAAAAACAAGTATATAAGAAACGAAAAATAAACTTTTGTCGACCTAAATTAGAAGGTAAACAAAGAATAAACACAAATAATAACATTTTTAATATATGCTTAACGTACGAAAACAAAAAAATAACAATGAAAAATAATAGGTACCTACTTCTTTTAGTTCTGTCTGAATCAGATAATTCAAAATCGTAGTGTGCATGTTCTTTTTATGATGCCCTATTAATTCTTTGTTTTATTTTAAATAAAAAGAATGATTATCTAGATGTTTTTTTTTATGGAGCCAACCTAGAGTAGTGGATGCTTATTACGCTGCTTTTACTGCAGAAAATTTACTAGAGAAAATATTCTTTAACCATTTGCTGAAGAATGAGGCAAACTTAATAAATTAAGAACAAAATTTGCTATAGACAAAAACAGTAGATCTACGTGAAAACAGTAGGTCTGGCAACGCTGATCGTTTCCTCGAATGGTTATCCTGTAACTGTCGCGCGACACTTCTTAAGCTTGCGAAATGCACCAAGCGTAACATTTATGCATCTGTCGTCCTACTCGACCTTGGGGTCGCATCAGTGGTCGCTTGTCTCTTGACGCTCCTACCCAAATGGTACCTTTAATGATCTAAAAAATAATAAATTTGGACAAATTTTGACAGTATCCAAAATCAATACAAAAAGAACGATGTTTTTTTATGTTTTTGATTGCATTTTGGTTCTTTACTGTTTTCTTTTTTATCTTTTTTTATTTTAGACAAAAACTACCAGCATATTTACGTCTGCAAAAATGAGATTCTTCTTTAATACCATAAAAGAATGCAGTGATGAGCTAAAAGCCAACTTGGAGACTCTTGAAAAGGACGAAACTGATATTGATATTTATGAAATCATGGGCTGTTACTTTACAGACATAATAGGTACTTTTTTTTTTTCTATGAAAACTTTTTAATAAGGAGAGTCTGTCATGAGCATGCTTACCACAGCGGTTGTAGAGAGAGAGAGAGAGAGAGAGAGAGAGAGAGACCATTGTAATTATTTAATTATTTTGTGGACAAATTATTATTATTATTGATTTTCAGGATCCCTTACATTTGGTATCAAGGCAAACAGTTTTAAAGACCCAAACGCTATATTCAGAAAATTAGGAAGAGACTTGTTTGGATCATTTACAAAACTTTTTCAAATTAAGTTATTTTTAACAATTTGTTACCCAAAATTGGCAAAAGCATTTGGTGTAATCAACATCCAACCGCAAATCGATAAATTTTTCTACCATTTTGTACCGGAAGCCCTAGAAAATAGAATCAAGAACGATATATACAGGGCGGATTTTTTGCAATTGTTAATCGAGTTAAAAAATTCTGGTGTGGACTTAACACTCGAAGAAATGGTAGCACAGGTATTGATTTTTTTTATTATATAGTGAACCATTTAAAATTTTATAACTATAAAAATGTTGTTTCTTTTAGTCATTTAATTTCTATGCAGCTGGATTCGAAACGTCGTCATCCACTGCGATGTTCTTATTGTACGAACTCGGTTTACATAAAAATATTCAAGAAAAGGCGAGAGTTGAAATATTAAATGTTTTAAAGAAGCATGATGGTGATTTAACTTATGAATCGCTTCAAGAGATGACATACCTTTCGCAAATAATTAGTGGTAAGGAAAATTGATTTAAATAAAACCAAATTTTTAATTTCTCTTTTTTTCTTTCCTTCTTCTTTTATGTCCTCTTTGATATTTTCCTTTCTTTTTAATTCTCTTTCTTTCTTTCTTTCCCTTTTCTTCTCTTTCCTTCCTTCCCTTTTTTTGTCTATTATTATGTTATTTAATATTCTAGAAACAATAAGGAAATATCCTTTGGTGCCAACATTTATCAGAATGTGCGTAAAAGATTACACTTTTCCAAATGGTGATTTAGTTATTAAAAAAGGAACTGGAATTATAATTCCAGTCCTGTCATACCATCGCGAACCATCCACTTTTCCAGAACCCATGAAGTTTGATCCAGACAGATTTGAAGATAAAAATATTAAATATGCAGGATATTTACCATTTGGAGATGGACCACGGAATTGCATAGGTTAGTAGTTTTTAAATGTTAGCACTAAAGCTTAATTTATAACCGCCGTAACGTAACTTAAGAACTTAACGTAAGAAGTTGAAGTATTGAATTTACGTATACTTATTTATAATGTTCGTAACGTAACTTAAGAACTTAACGTACCGTAGAAAGTTCGCCAACTTTTAACTTAACAACTTAACTTAACCTAAGACCTTACGGTTAGCCAATGAGATAATTCTGAGTTCAGCACGTGATAACTGTCATTTATTCTCTTTTTATTTTTTTTTATAAATGAATAGGCAAATACCATTTGTAAACTAACATTCTCCTTTTTGATGGACATATATTATCATGAATGATTTGTGTTTATGTTATTGGGGATAAACTATGAGATATGAGTGTTGCTGCATATACCTATAAACATCAAGTCTAGAACTGAAATAAGACACAAAACTAGTTTGCTAGGAAAGATTAAATTCTCATTATTGCTCAAAAACAATCAACATCTTCGGTAAACTATTCTGTTTTATTATATTTTTATATTATTACTTTTAAAGTAGTTAATATATTCTTTCTATATAGCAAAATCATAATTTATAAGTTTTATTTAGAGGTTAGGTACATAGTTTACACTTGTTTATTTCATAAGGTTGTCAGTAATTAGATAATCTCTGAAATCAACATGCATGCTCAACTCTTACGTTACGGACATTTATAAATAGACTTTATTTTTATATCTTAGGTTAAGTTTCTACGGCGTTAAGTTAAGTTACGTTACGGTGGTTATAAATTATACTTAACTTAACATAGCGCTCAAGGAACTTTATACCTGACTAATGTGATATACACGACAAAATTTCGATAGTGATTTAAAAGTTAAAAACAGTGGTAAAAAATCCAAATTGAAAGTTAAAATTAAGCCCAAGTGTTAGTTACATGTGAATGGTTATGAACAGCAAATCAATTTGTAAAAAGGTAAACTAGATCTCAAATAAATGACGTGAATTTAAATCGTACCTAAATAATTTATTCGAGAAAAAACTAAAAACAAACTAATCAATAGTACGGTGGTAAACACATCATTTCGACATGAGTTTTGACGACTTGTTTGAGAATATGAAATCATTCATTTTAAGTGAAAATGAAAAACAAACTGATAAATTGATTACACATATGGACAAGCAAATTTCGGACACAAAAGAGAGAGTTGAAAAAGAGGCGAATAGAACAGATGCACTAGAAGAACAATTGAAGAAAGAAAAAATTAAAAATTCAACGCTTAGTAAGCAGATTAGAAAAAATAACGTTATAATATTTAACTTAGAATTTAAAGAAGGGAATCTGTTAGAATCAATATAATTCATCAAAATATTAGAAGTGTAAACAGTAACATGGATCAGTTTGAAGTTTATCTAAACCAATTTCAAAAACCATTTGACGTTATAGTTCTAACTGAAACGTGGAACAATTTTGATGAAAAAATGTTTACTAAAGAGGGATATGACATGATTTATAATTACGGGGATTTTAATAAAGCTGACGGCACCATTGTATATATAAAAAAATATATTAATTACACATTTGAAATAAAATACATTGACCACTGTAAAGTAATAATTATTCATATTAACATAGATAAATACAAAATTGCACTGTCATGTATCTATAGGTCACCATCCACTGATGAAGAAAATTTTGTAACAGAATTAAATAACTTCTTCCATTCTTCAAATTTAAATAGTGATATGAATATTATAATCGGAGACATAAATATAGATATTTTCTCAAATGATAGAGTAACAGCAGAATACTTAAATACTATAAGTGAATTTGGATTTATATCCACAATAAATAAATACACAAGAGTGCCCTCTGAAACCTGTATTGACCATGCCTTCATCCGAGTAAAAAAAGATTGTTTAAAAGATATTTGTAATACTTATGTCTTAGATCCACATATTAATGACCATCGCAGCGAAATATTAAATTTACGTATTCCAGCAATGGACCCAGCTGTAAAGTCAGTACAATTCAAACAAATAATAAACTTTAAGAACATTAAAAATGAATTAGCTAACTTTAACTGGACCAAACTCTATAAAATTACCAATCCACAAGAAGCTTGGACGTCATTCTTAAACTTAATTTTTAACTTTCTCAAAGAAAATACTATACGTGTCAAGATTAATAAAAAAAACAACAAAAAGAAAAGTTGGATAACTAACGGATTAATGAAATCTATTGCACACAGAGATAAGTTATATAAAATATTTCAAAGAAAGCAAGATGATATATCTAAAAGAGAATTTATTGCATACAGAAACCATTTAAATACATTGATTAAAAAAACAAAAATTGACTTTCACAAAAAAAACATAGAAAACACTAAAAATAATTCTAGTAATCTCTGGAAAGCTATAAATAAAATTAGCGGTAACACAATAAAAAAACAAGAAATTAGACAAATTTTGAAAACGGATAATACAAAAACAAATGTTGAATCCGAAATAGCGGAAATTTTTATCAATTATTATACAAATGTTGGACCGAATTTAGCTAGAAAAATAAACATATCTGGTGCACCACCTGCACCTAGAATCACTTGTAAACAATCAATTTTTCTTAAACCTACAAACGTAAATGAAGTTTTAGATGTAATTAATAATTTAAAGAATAAAAAGGCACCAGGTGTAGACTGTATTACAGCAGAAACTATTAAAGAATTAAAAACGGAAATTGTAATAGCTTTGACTCACCTCATTAATTTGTCATTAGAAAAATCAGTTTTTCCAGAAGAATTTAAAATTGCAATAGTTAAGCCTCTGTACAAAAATGGTGACAAATGTAAACCATCCAATTATAGACCAGTATCACTTACCAACAATTTTACAAAAATTTTAGAAAAAATAATAAAAATCAGACTTGAATCATTTTTGAAAAAAAATAACATAATTTCAAAAAAGCAATTCGGCTTCCAAAGTAACAAATCAACTGAGGATTCTATAGCGGAGCTTACAAAACAAATGTACACATCAATGGACCAGAGTAGACCATCAATCGCTGTGTTCCTGGATCTTGCCAAGGCATTTGACACTGTTGACCATCAACAGTTGTTGGAAGCCTTGGCAGATGCAGGAGTAAGGGGTAGTGCTTTTGAGCTTTTTAAAAGTTATCTGTTGAATAGAAAGCAATGCGTACAAATAGAAGAACACATGAGTAGTGTAAAGAATGTAAAATGCGGGATACCCCAAGGCACAGTACTTGGCCCAATTCTGTTTAATATATATATTAATGATTTATTATCATTAAATAATAAGGGCCAGGTACTTAGCTTTGCCGATGATACCGTTGTTTTCTATTCGGCAGATACGTGAAAGGACTTAAAGGTATTAGTTGAGGATGACTTAAAACTCCTTTTTAATTGGTTTGACCATAGGCTTCTTACTGTTAATTACAATAAAACACACTTTTTATCTCTAACAAGTTACGAAAACAATCTTCCTAACTATAATACTCTAAACATAATATATAATAGCAAAAATATTGAAATTAAATCAGAAAAAAAAGTTAAGTATTTGGGTATCACAATTGATTGTCACCTAAGGTGGAATCATCATATAAATAAGGTAGTTAATACATTAAGAACATTTCTATATAAATTTAAATATCTTACAAATATCCTGGATTTACCTTACCTAAAAATGTTATATTATGCTTTGGTGGAATCGAGAATAAACTATGGAATCATTGGCTGGGGTGGAGCAACTAATGTTTATCTAGAAAAAATTGAAACTATTCAAAAATTATTCTTAAAAATTATTTATAAAAAAGATCGTACTTACCCCTCGGACCAACTATACAAAGAATTAAAAATATTAGATCCTAAAAAACACTTTTTCCTTAAAATTGCCAACTACTACTATAAAATCCCAACTAGCCTTAATATTATTGTTACTCATGAACACGAAACAAGACGAAAAAACAAAATTAAATATAAAGACTTATCATCTCGCAAAACTGTAGGCCAAAAATGCCACTTCTTCTTAGCATCAAAAGTGTTAAATTATTTACCTCCAAAAATTCTAAAATCAAAATCATTATCGCAATTTAAAACAAGAACAAAAAAATTTTTATTAGAAGAATATAGAGCAAATATCAGAAATATTATTGATATGAATATCGATAGATAAATGAAAAATAAAAAAAGAATAAAAAAATTTATTAAAAAAAAAAATAAATAAAATAAAAAATAAAAAATAATGAAAATTAAAAAAAAAAGCGGCAAATTTCTCTATTATTATTATTATTATAATTATTATTATATGTCAGTATTTGTATTATATTAATTAAATGTAAAATAAAACATAAAATAGTACTTAACATATCTCTACACACGCCACGGACAGTTTTTATACTTTGTGGCAATGGGTAGTTTATTTGTATGTACCTAAAAAAAAAAATATTTATATTATTAAAAAAAAATGTATTTAAAAAAAAAAATTATTATATTTAATTTTTTGTACATTTTTCAAATAAACTTTTATTATTATTATTATTAATTATATTCCTAGTAGAATACTGAATGACATTTTGACAATGATAGACGAAATAAAAAAAACACTTTAGATACAGATTTAAAAAAGTCTTCATATCAAAGTACGTTGATGTCATTTATTGTTCTTTTGTTTCTGTTTTAGGAGAAAGACTTGGTTTAATGCAAGTAAAATTGGGTGTAGTAGAAGTAATAAGAAACTATGAAATCGCTGTCAGCCCAAAGACGACTGACCCAATAGAATTTGATGATTCTACTATGCTTACAAAGCCATCGAAAACAATTTTCCTTAAATTAAAGAAAATATGAATGAATAACTTACAGTCTATGAATAAACATATTTAAAGATATTTAAACATTATTATTAATCATTACCGTCCTTGTGCGTTGAGATATCCTTAAGTAGTAGGGAAGTCTTTCCGCAATTACTGATTGATTAAAAAAAGATCTACCGACTTAACAGTAGAAGAAATTTTAGGTATACAGGGTGTACCAATAAAAACTCCCAGGCCGGATATTTTGTTAAATAATAGAGATATTTTAATACTGTAAAAGCCAGTTCATAGAGCACTAGAAGAGCTTCAGTTTTAAATATACATTATTTTTAAATAGCTTAATATGTAGATGGCGCTGCGCTCAATAATTATTTTTCGATGGGATGATCTTTCTTATGTAGCGCATCTTGTAAAAATTACATTTTTAGTCAGATTTTGTTCTATGAACTAATTTGATAAATCTAGCCATTTTCGATATACAGAGTGGACCATTCAAAACAGTTTCATTCTGTTATTTGGCATTATTTATTGGATTTTAAGAAAATACTAAAACAGGTCGATTTTTATTCCAAATTAAACACATTTTTACAATACAGATATCTGTCATATGTCAACCCCCTCCCTTCCACTTCTCTAAATAAGGAATGTACCATGTTCGACACATCATTAAAACGGTAATTTTATGGGGAAGTCAGAAATATGACTGTTTATTGCGATACTTTTAATTTTAGCGCCCTCTATCGGGATAAAAACTATCAAATCAATGCACGATATAACATTAGTTTTAAATATCCCCATACTGCACTTGCATCAAAATAAAGTTACCAATAATGTTGTGACATGCTCCTGCAGGGTTATTCTACTAAATTTATAGCCCGGCTAAAAGTTTATAGCCTGGCTACAAGTTGGATTTTGAAGTTAGGAACATATAAAGTTCAAGCCAAAATCCAACTTGTAGCCGAGCTATAAATTTAGTAGAATAACCCTGCTGGTTCACTTACAGTGAATCAGCGAGTCTGTATAGCGCTATGATGGTGATACCCGAATAGGGATTGCTCAGGCGCCAGTTTTGGTATCGCAGTTTGCTCTGCGACCCTGAAGTACACCAGAGTGTACTCAAGGTAAACTCAGTGGAGGTGAAACTATTTCCAGGCGGCCACTGCTAGGTATCCACTATACTAGAATAAATAAAAATAAAACACTTATCTCCTTTACACCTCGTACCCTACGGTACCCTAAAAGAGAACGGTTAAGAACCAGTAATAAGAGAAACACAGGAATAGTTACTAAAATATATATTTACAAAAAAAAAATACAACGGTAATTATATATGAACAGCTCCCTGCATTCGGAAAATCTATTCTTTAAAAATAAATTATTAAAATTGAAAAGTAATTAAATATTGACGGATCCCTATATCCGGAAAATTGAACAAAAATAAATTATTAAAGTCGAAAATTATTTAAATATTGACGGATCCCCGTATTCGGAAAATTTGTTAAAAATACATTTTCAAAGTTAAAAATTATTTAAACATATAGAAATATTTATGGTTTATTAGCACAGGAGGCTAATCGGACTGGGAATTGTGAAACGCCCAGTATACGGAAAATGTATGAAAATTAATTAATACACTTGAAACAATTTAAATATGACGGTAATCGAATGCAAACAAATAAATGAACTCAAAATTGTCGGAGCCCCCTTGTATCTTAATAACTAAGCGATGGAAACGAAAATTCTCGCTTACTGATAAATATGGTTTATTTACGCGGTGTTTTGAACGGCGACCACGACGATCGTAGAAAATAATATTTATGAATTTTGCTCAGCGTTTATCGAGAACGTGTGTGTGAATTTAATTTTACAGAAGTCGTCTGGCTTCATTCAATAACTAATTGTGGACGGGGAATGATTCAAATACGGCTGAATAAAAAAATTAAAAGAAAAGAAATTTTACACGAAGTGAGGCGCGGAAATTAATTTAAACGTCTTTTTGGGAAATTAGACAACGTCATCAGGAGAGAGAGAGAGCTCTCTAACCTAGGAAACGGATCGAACCTCCGAAAAAGAAAAAAAAAAGAAAACAATAAAATAATAAAAAAAATCGAAAACAGGTCGAATCTCTCACTTCGATGTTAATTGGGCGGTTTTTAAAAGAAATTGGATATAATCGCTGACAAAGAGAGCACTCGGCGTCTAGTCTAGGTCCAACCTCAAATAAAAAATTGCCAACGGTTTCCCACTGAGGGATGAAATAATATATCCTGGATGTGAATCAAAATTCTTCACTTATCACACGGGTGTCCCAACTTGGAACTTCTAAAGTGGAGACTCTACCCTTTGAAGGCTAAAAATTTAGCAATATAAGCAAAAGAGAAAAGTTCGACTTGTACGTGATGAATGAATTAAAAAAACTGTCAGCGACTATGTCCAGGAAAATTGCAGTGACATTTTATTTTAATTTTTTATATGCACCCACAATATGTTATGTAGCTGTTATTTGTATTTCATACATTTTTTATGCCTTACATTATATTATATGAATGTCTGCATTATATTATATGAAAACACATATTTTTTAAAACTTATTTTTATTCAATTCAATGCAGGTAAATAAGTAAAAAGGTAAAATTTTCCGGCATATCCAGATGCGAAATTGTTACCAGGATCCTCAGTTTCGAGTTGCGAAGATACCCTTTTCATTATCCTGGTTATAAAAACTATTATTTAGAAGTCGAATTTGTATAACCAAAATAAATCATTAAAAAAGAAAAAGGAAAAAAACTGTTCAAATAAATACTTTTTTATGTATGTATTTGCATTTATGTTTTTTCATAGTTCTTTCCCCAACTATCCCATAATAATATACATAGATATTTTATGTAATTTCTAAATAAGTACCCTTAATATTCATGAAATTTCCTCACACTTCGTCAGTATTTTTAAATTCGCGCCCATAGACACTGTTGATATCCTACCTTTTATTTTTTATACCATGGTAAAGCATAATATCTTATTCCAAAAATTAATATAAAATTTTATATAAAGCTAACATGTGTCATTCATTGAAATGTAGAGGTTATGTTATGTTATGTTATGAGAAATCATTGCAAAAAATATAAATATATTTAATAACATATTATTAACAAAACATACTCTATAAAATCAGACGGTCATTAACATAATTAAATATAATTTAATACTGGGGATGACCCAGATACAATCAAAATTGAAGTGACCTAGTCGTCGCTGTCTGTTAGATCAAAATAAAAATGTCACTGCTTTTGAGACAAGACATAGACGACAAATGACATCTGAGTAAGAGGTGATTGTTTCGAAATAACGAAATAACGGTTCCAACCATTACAAAACATGGATGATTAATCTATATAACTATCTACACCATTGAAACGTCAAATCATCAGGCCCACAGTGTCGCCATATCATAACCTATCATGTGCCTACCAGTGGCCTGTCATTACCTTCGGGCAACCATTTTGTTTGGAATGCCTAAGGTATTTTTTAGCGAGTGTATTGTTTAAAATATTTTCGACTGTTTTAAACCATTTAAATTTTAGCGATGCAACTATGACGTCGCGTACGAAATATTTTAAACCAAAGCTAGAATGTTTAAACCAGTCGGAGGCATATGGTTCAATAACGGTTGACACATTAGAGATTCTGATTTTGGCTGTTGTATGTTGTTTTGCTCTGTTCCATCTTTGAACATTTTGATATATTTGACGTTTTGTTGATTTTTATTGATTTTTGATAACTTCATACATATATTATGTGATTCATATTCATACATTAATTGGTTATAATGTTATATTACAAATATGTATGGTCACTATAAACAGTTGGACGATGTGATCTACCTAAAGTTTACTCTTGATTATGAAACAATAATTCAATTAAAATAAGGTTAAAGGATTACTTATCAGTTGTACGTTTTTTGCAAACATAATTACGTAGTTTGCTTCAGATTCTGAATTTGCCAGTAAATATTTAAAAGCAATTAAACTTTCTTTGGCAGTTGATGAACTTTGAAAAGCCCAAAAAATCTACAGCAAATAATCGTTAGACAATCGCGTATCTGTTGGAGCTACGGAATAAATATGATGCCATGTTTATTGACAAGAAAAATACCAAAATAAAATAATAAACGACGTTTCAGATTGCAATGTACCTATTAAAAACACTTCAATTTTTACTTAAAATCGGTATCACTCATCTTCCTTCATCTGATTTAACAACCATTAAAAGAAAATACGATCGAAATCAGAATTATACCTAATTAAAAATTTTGTCCTATGACAGCTGGTTATATTTTTAAAACACCCTATTTTTGCCATCTATTAATTCATGACGTCACTTTAAATATGGTTTAAAAAATATTTTAAACCAATGTGGTGGCTAAAAAACAGCTCTAATTGGAATGTTTGCAATGTATGGAATGTTAGGAACATTTGACATTAGGAATGACTAGAATGCGTAAAATAAGTCACATAAAAAATGCATGGGCGGATTTTAAGAACATTGATATTAAAGAATTTAGGATGAACCGAAAATTCTGAAAATCAATAGGGTTCCAAGTTAGAAGCAATTATTCAAGAAAATCAAAACCGCAAGTCAATCAGATCTTTCTAGAGTTATCGTGCCGGTATACATACGAATTTTTTTTTTGCATTTTCGGGAACGTGAAAAGGTTTAAAAAAGTGAGGATAAGAAATTTTTTTCGTCCGCACGAATGCAGTACTGAGGTCCTATAGGAAATTCCTCAGTAATTGTTAATCCCATAGATGGTTGTGAGGTCAGTGCGCCTGCCTTTCATGCGGAGGGTCCGAGACGTTAAAACGCATCTTTTCTTGGCAAGTCCGGTAAAATAACTAGAAATGGCTAGTCAGTAAATTAATCGCATTAATATGCCGCCAGATGGTGCATTACTTAATTTTGATAGTTCCTTTCACAATTTATTATTACATTATTTTTTTTGCATTGTTTATAAAGAAAATAAACTTGTTTATTCTGCTACAGGTTATGTGTTTA